CCCCGAGGAGAACTGGTGCGGAGAAGAAGGCGGCTACGCTGACATTCAGACACGTAAAGGCCCATCCCGCCCCCCCCTTCGGAGACAAACCGTGCGCCGCCGTCTGCATGCAACGAAAAAGTGCCACCCTCGTGGAAGGCGAAAGAACACGCAGCACGCAGTGGTGTCTTTGAGCGGGTGGATCCTGGGGCTGTGCGCGTTTGCCCCCAACGCCCACACTGGACGCTCATGTTTTTCTGTTCCTGGCTGTTGGCGATGACGATGATCGCCTCGCCGAAACATGTGTCCTGCCACCCAGACCTCATCAAAAAATCAGGAAAAAATTCTCCGTAGAGTGAAAACACCAGGAAACGTAAAACATCTTGAACTCACCACGCTGGAAACGAAGAGCACCGGTAGTGGGGAAAACTCAACCATTGTTGCAGCTTTTCGAAAATGTATGTATGTCCCGCACGCGTCCGTTCTTCCACGACAAGGAAACTCTCCCTTCTCGCAAAATCAAAGAGTTCGCGAGTCTGCGTTCCTGGTCCCAATTAAAAAGAAGTATCATTGGGCGTGTGACAGCAGGGGGACACAAGACAGATAGCACAGCGGGCAAGAGCGAGTCAAGAGGGGGACGGGGGTGGGGCGGAAAGACTTTCGAGGGCTATCGTCAAACGCAACGGGCGGGATCACAAAATCTGATATCGACTGCTGCTGCAAAATACAGGTTGATGAGGAGCGCCTTACGGGCTTGGGGATGGGTGAAGCAAATGCAGCAAGCACTCGAGTCGCGTAGTGGAAGGACACGATGAAGATAAAATCGCGCGGTGCAGCGGGCGTTGTCGCGGTGTGCGGATACGCGGCGAAAAAAAACCTTGTGGAATTATAATACTCGGCAAACAACAAACTCTCTCTCCCTGTGCAAAAAGGAGAGCGGCCGTGGGTCCCATACACAGCAGTAGCACATACCACACAACAACGACTACATCGGAGCTTTGAGATGCACACCGATACAAATACATACCAAAGGGGGCACGAAAACAAGGGGAAGAGCGGCCTCTACTTTTACATGCGGACGACCAACAGATCCCAGTCTTACTTGCGCGTCGCATCCCGCGACTATGGTGACGGTCGCCGAGCTTGGTGCGGGAGTCGACCAACGCGTCCGACTAACTGGGCAAAACATACACGCTGAAAGAGAGACCCAGTGAATAAGCTAGAACAAGACCTCGCCGACAAACGGAACACATCAACAGCAACAGCAAAAAGCGTGCATCCATCACGAAAAGTGATGTCGTGTCCTCTCATGAGAACGGGACATTGAAAGACGCACGTGCAGCAGCGAGTTCCCAGCCGCAAAACGCCAACTTGCTATTCGCCGCCGTCGCATCCGCGGAAGGACGCGCGGGGCTTCGATAAAAAAAGAGGAAAAAAGCGTTATATTTTTGGAGAGGCGGAACACGGCGAGTAGGGACAGCGGAAGAGAGAGAGAAAGAGTAGACACACGTGCAGGTGCTGCGACACTGCACCGCTGCTGCCCAGTGCAGACTGGTCCTTCGAGCATGCTCTCCCGCACCATTGACCCACGGCAATCCCATGCTTGGCACACGGGAAAGGCAGATATGTCTGCTCACTTCTTGCTTCTCTGGGGCTCAAACGATGAGCGATATCTGCCCATTGGAAGGCCGTGTGCCGTGTGCACGCGTCCTTTCTCAAAAGTTCTCAAACCAAGCAATAGGCAATACAAGGCATGCAGCAGCCGAGGAGACGGGACGCACTCACCGGCACTGGGGTTGCTAGTCTGAGTATGCTGTATTGGCCCTCCTTCTGGTAGCTTTAATCGCTGGTTGGTCGTCGGTGTGCTACTGTTCGTCCAGAAGGAAGGAAAAATCGAGAATAGAGGGGAGGGGGGGACGGCAATCCCCTTTCCCCTGCCAAAACAACGCACACTCGTTTTGTGCTGATTTATGAGGGAACAAAGCTGTAGCATTCTACTGGATGTAGCAGACTGCACACAGCAGTGACAGCTACTGAAGGAGAGAGCGCTGCCAGCAAGGGAGGGATGCTTTGCCGATTGGTAGCGGAAGCCTCACGGCGGGCACCGGCTCGCACCCTGCAGCAGCCGCAACGGCAGCAGCAGGCATTGCTCGCTACCGCCTCGCTGGTTGTTCGTGGACGGCCTTCATCAGGTGCCGCAGCAAAAACGGCAACAACAACAGCAGCTCCAGCTGCTGCTGCTACTGGCAGAGCTGCGCCGGTGCCGTCGAGGGCAAGAACCCTCTCGTCTGTTACTGCAGCAGTAGTAGAGGAGACACCACCGAGCACTACTGCTGCGGCAGCGACTCGGAAGCTTGTGTTCGGTATCCCCAAGGAGGACGATGTGGTGAGGACGCCGCCAATGGAGGAGGAGGACTCGGGACCCATCATCCGGGAGATGAGGGTCCAGGTCAGGCCGCGCGGCGAGTACGGCAGCAGGGGGGCCAGGAGGATTCGCAGAGGTGAGCGGGGAACGCTGCTGGTTGCTGCTGGGCTGCTGCTGCTTCCTGTTTGCTTGCTGTGAAAGGCGCCCTTGGCTGTGTTCGCCCTACTCTGCGACCGTCGTGTAGCATACTCAAGTACCTTCTTCCCCGTACACCCTTGGCATGTCCATCTATGCCTATCGTTAGAGTGGTGCGTGCGACCATGGGTCGTCCACAGGAGTGGTGGCGTGGGTGCTGCTGCAGCCAGTCGTTGTTGCCGTGGTTTTACCGCCGTGGGCTCTAGGCTCACACGTTGCCCCTGTGAATGCTTCAATGATTTCAAGAGACGGCGGGGATTTGTTTGATGGCGAATGGATTTGAAATGTCCGAAGCCGAGAAAGGAAGGGAACATGCCCCTGTTGTGTGTACCGTAAACTACGGACTTTCCCCTCCGTGGTACAGCCCCCCCCCCCCCCCCCCCCCCCCCCC